AAAAATACAGGAGAGACTTCACCAGTGAAGCTAAGTATAGGAACACATGGAACACTTTCTTAAACAAATACTATGGAGTAGTACTTTCAACATTAGATGTATCCATTGTAATACTACAAGCCTGAAGTCTGATAGAACAGGCTTTAAACCCAAAAATATACTAGGTGCACACATGCGAGCACTTTATATAACAAAATGATATTCATTAGTAATGAAAAGGTAGGTTATGTGTATACTTATTTATAGAGCTTTGAACCTATAGTTTTGTGCATTCCAGGCTAGTACTTGACTACTTAAGTATATCCATAGTCCTCTTTTTCATATATTAGTTTGAGACAGTGACTCATTTAAGTTGCTCAGGTTGGACGTAAACTTTTTTTTACAATCCAGGTAGGTTTGAACATTTGATTATCCTCTCTCAGCCTCCTTAGTAGTTGGGATTATTACCACCAAGCCTGAACAATTTAAAATATGCAATGGTAGAAAATATGAAAGAAACTATATGTCCTTCTAATATATTGAATGTTGACATGGGTTATCTTGATGACTAAAGGCAGGGCTGGGATGTGTTTTTCCAAATTATATATTTATATATTTTGATTCATAGAATAAAAACTGTCTCTCCCTCTCCCTCTTTCCCTCCCTCCCTTCCCCCTCCTTCTTTCTTCCCCCTCCCCCGCTGTGTGTGTGTGTGTGTGTGTGTGTGTGTGTGTGTGTTTATGTATACCATGTCCATGCAGGAGCCCACAAAAGCTAAAGAGGCTACAAATCCCTTGGGACTGGATTTACAGACTTGTGAGCCTTCATTGTGGGTTGTGGGAAATGATCTTGAGACCTCTGCAAGAGTAGTGCTTTTAAGTGCTGAGTCATTTCTCTATACAGAAAACTATAGTTTGAGAAAACGATTGCTTTTGAGAAAACGATTGCTTTTTTAATTATTATTTTTCCCCTAGGGCTAGGAAGATGGCTCAGGTGGAAAAAATGCAAGCAAGACAACCTGAACTGAATCCCCAGAATCTACATTAAAAAGGTAGGCATTTGAGGTATTTGCTTATAATCCTCACATTGTATGAGTTGGTGGTAGGGGAACTGATGGAGACTGGAAGATTCCTAGGGCCTGCTGGCTGACCAGCCTAGCCTGTGAGGCATCTGTGATTGTCATCTGGTCTGTCCCTGCCAACACATAAGTGTACCCCCCTATCCACCCTCACACAAAGACACAAACACATAAAGGAAAGCAGTATATTTATCTACAGTCTGCATGAGATCTTGGTTTTTAGTGTTTGTCCCGTCAAACTAAAGAAACAACTAAGCAAATTTGCTCTGTGTAGGTGCTAAGTCAAACCAAAGAGGCCATCTGTGGTTTGGAGAACCTACAAGTTAGCAAATGTTTGCAGAGGCACAAAGCACTCCTCTGTTATTTATTAATGGCGGGACACATGGAGATAGGGTCTCTCAGCTGAGAAGATCTAGAGGCAGTGGAGAGACACAAATCCAGATGACCTGCAGCTGACTTGGCAAAACTGTTAAATGACTTTGCAAAAGACCTGTCACGGGATGAATGACACTGTCCCTGCACTGCACATGGTTATTTCCAGTAAGAAGACTGAGAGGGAGGAGAAAGGGAAGAAGAGCAAAAGATGCTTTGAGAAGTCAGCAGACATTTCTTAAAATGAGCAACAGGGAGGAAGAGGACATAAAATAAAATAGAGAGCAAAACCACATGCATTTTATTCCACTGTTTCCTCTTCTTCTCTACTCCTGAAAGATAGCAAGTTGCTCTGTGGGTCTGATGGCCCTCTAATTGTTTTTATAGTAAATGAGGCATGAGACCTATTGTCAGAAAACATGGTGTCCGTGTGTACAGCCAAGCATTTTCTCCCCGGCAGGTCAGTCCCCAGGGGTTAATGTATTTAAGGAAGCTGGAGGCTCAAATGCCATCTGCTTGCATTTCTTTAAGGCAAACATTTGGTAAGAACATGCTTTCCTATTATTTTTTTTTCATTCTTAGAATATGACAACACAGTCTTCTGTAAAGGGTAGAAGCAAAACTATTATAACCATAGAAGAGAAAGGGTATGGGGAATTTGGCAGAGCTCTCTTTAAAACATAACAATAGGAGTTAGAGATAAGAGCATTTTCTGTGCTTGCATTTGCACTTGAGTTCAAATCCCCAGTGCCCATGTAAAAAGACAGGTGTGGCCTAAAATGCTCAAACAGTGGGAGACAGAGACAGAAGGATCCCTGCAGCGGTCTTGTTGCCAGACAAGTCCATTCAGAGACCCTGTCTCAAGGGAATAAGGGTTATCAAGTGTACTCCTCTGGTGTCTGCTTGAATATACAGGCTGTGCATGCCTACATGCAAATGAAAAGAAAACATAGGGAGAGCTGTTGACAAGCATTAATTGTATGCTTGATATCTGCATAAAATCCTAGTGCTGGGTGAATTCCTAGGATTTGATCTGTTGATACATGTATTTCTTTCTCCCTTCCTTCCTTCCTTCCTTCCTTCCTTCCTTCCTTCCTTCCTTCCTTTCTTTCTTTCTGTTTCTGTTTTCTTTTGTACTTTTCCAAACTGGACACAAATCGCAGTACTGAGAAATTGAAGTGCACACAAAACCTCACCCCTGTCCAAGAAGCTATTGACAATTGATACTTGCTGGGAAATGGAAAATCAAATGGAGTGCCATTTGATATTTCAAACATAGTGCAGGGCAAGACCATGCCCAGTAGTAGTTGGCCCACATAAATTGAACTCTATGTTTGTGTATGTGTATGTTGTTTTAGTAATTTTTATCAAATATAATTATCATTTGTTTTGATTTAACTCTATTCACCAGATAGAAGCTAATCAAGTTTAACTCAAACAGCCTATGGAGTTCACAGCAACAGATTTTATTTTATCACTTTCCCTTTCCCCTTAATGAGTACAGATTTGTTCCCTGGGATATTTTTGAGTTAAGAAACTTTCAGGTTGATTTTCCTCAAGTCATGTAGTCATCATTCCCTTTGAGCATGGACCAAAGTCTGTTTTGGTCAATGGCTTCAAAATTTAAGAGATATTTTGACTAAAAATAAAACTGGATGAAACAACCCAGGCATTGGTGGCACACTCTTTTAATTCCAACATTCAGGAGACAGAGGCAGGCTGATCTCTGTGAGTTCAAGGCCAGCCTGGCCTACAGAGTGAGTGTTACACAGAGAAACCCTGTCTCAATAAACAAAAACAAACAAAACAAAAACAAAACTGGATGAAACAGTTTCTGTTGTTACCTACCAAACACAGCTATCATATTTAATTTAAATATATTCCAAACAAGCATGTAAATCACATCCTTCATTCAGGCATCCTACCTTTCATTTGCTGAGTTGGTCTAAGAAGAGATAGGGGTCAAAGGGTAATGTCTATCTTGACCATCCTTGGACTGGTGGCAGCTGAAAATTGATAGCCAGTGGTATGTGGTATGTATGACAGCTACCTTCTTATGACAACCCACATAGCAGCCATTGTATTTTAAGCCTGACACTGAATTCTTTAGACTTGAATTAGAAAAGACATGTCTTTGATGGATTTCTTCCTGTTCTCCTTTACAGGCAACTAATCCTTACTGCATTGGATCAAACAGACGGGCACGATCAATTCAGGGAAAGCAAGCAATGCCAGCTCTGCTCAATCTTCCCTCAACAAGCAGCTGAGGATGAAGGGGAGAGAAAGGTAAGGAAGAAAATTCATCCACACACCTCCCCCTAGAATGCTCAGCCAAGGAAAGGGTGAGAAGACAAATGGAAATGCAAGTCTAGGCAGGTAGATACACTTGCTGTCAGAGGGGGAATTTGAAAACTCTGATACAATGTCAAACAGGTCAAGCATTTCAGTGCTTAGGTATACTGAAAGAATTGTGGGCAGATGGAAGTGGCCATGATGCCCAAACCAAAGCAAAGGGTGGCAGTATCTCCAGCGAGGGTGGGGGCTGGATTTACTTAAGTCTCTGTCATCTGAGATCTATATTGCTCTGTGATGAGCAAGTTAGTTACTGTGTTCAGGTAATTAAGTCATAGAGAAATGAAGGTCTTCCAAAGTTGTATTAATGTACACTACTAGATCTTTTTAGGCTTGACTGGCCATTTTGTAAGAAGCTACAGCGAAAGAGCAATTTAATAGTGACATGCAGAAAGCTAATGAAATTTAGCTGGAAATAAGAGGCTTCCCCCATATTAGTAGTTCTGCCTTTGCTATCGGAGGAAAAATGCATGGCTATCTAGTCCCTCATTTACCAGCATACAGTGATTTCCCCATCAGTCCCATTGCTCAAAGTGAAGGCTATGACTTAGCCTCTTTGGAACGTCTGGTGCCTTCTGGCCCTCTCTTTTTTGTGCATCATTATTTTTTCCCTTTTCGTCTCTGAATTTGTTCTGGTCAGAACTAAAGTACTTTTTCTACAGGAAAGTGCATCAAAGAGCTAATTTGGATAATAGTTCTCAATTCCTTGACTCCTTATGCTGCCTAATATTCAGATATCGAGCCATTCACCACCATGTGAGTTAGTTTCTCCTGTCCAATGATAAGTCATATCCTATCCCAGTATGAGATGGTTTAAGAGACACATTCAGATGTTGGCAATGAGAAACTTCTCCATTTTTATATTGAGCAATAGTTCAGTAATGATACACACATGTGTGTAATTTGGAAAGAAATGAGAGTCTCTGTATGTATACATCTGTGGCACCAAGATTCAGTTACATTATCAAAAGCAATACATAATAATTATATTTATAAATATGTTACGTTTTATATCTACACATATGTGTATATGTGGCAATCTCTCCACATTTTCAGTATCTGTGAAGCTCCAAGTCGGGCTATCCTCTCAGTACAGGTGTACCAACCTTCACTTGGTAGTTTACCCTTATTTTCTGTCTGCCAAGGACCCACTGATCTGCTTTACCAGGACACATGTATGAGATATACCTGAGACATCCCTGATTCCCCTTTAAGCATCTTACCGCTGGAGGCAGTGGTCCAGAACATCTGCATTCAGCAGAGTTGTAGCTCGAGCCAAAAGCTTATGATTACAGTTTGCAGATTTGAGTTCCAAGATGAGGAGACCCAAGCAGAACATGGCTCCCATTTCTTCCAGTTCACTGGTACCAAACTGTAGACCCTGTCAGTTAAACAAAGTAATCAACAGTGACTATTCAGTAGGAGTTGAAGAGTGACATTTTCAGATTAGGAAGAGGAACTCTAGACACATGTCTATCACAGAAATTGAGGATATATAGTGTCTACCAGTCACTATTCAAAGTTGGCTTTTCTCAATCTGTGTTGCATGAACATTCTTCATTTCCTGACATGATAGCTCCAGGGGATGAAAGAGGGCATGGTGGCACAGGATCATTTTACCTCCCCACCCCATTGCACTAAAATCCACAGTTCCCATCTGTATTTTGAGGAGGAGTTTACCATGAAAACAAAGATTTATTACTAAAATTTTGTTAAGAGATACATTATATTATGGTAAAATAGGGGGAAAAGCCCTTCACATATTAATACTGAAACTGCACAATATACAATACTTTCCTGAAATTATCTTTTTACTTCTGCCAAGGTAATGCACAAAATTAAAGTCAAGCTTAGCACTTTAAGGTTAGTACAGGAAGTAAAGATAAGCACAGTGATCAGGTGTGATGACACATGCTTGCTATCCTTTCCTTGGGAGTCTGAGGCAGGATGATTAAGAGTTCTAGACTAGACTGCACTATAGAGTGAAACCCCTCACAAATCCTCTCTGAGAGAGAAGAGGAGAGGATGGTAGAGAATTGGGAAGTATATAGCAATTAAAAAAAAAAAAAAAAACTTTTGAGCATCTACCTGTGTTGGTATTTTCTTACCAAGTCCTACCAGATAATTATTTTCTCTAATCCACACAGAAGGAGATTCAAACACAAAAATCCAAGGAATGTATCCAAGGGTTTTTTTTAGCCATTACATAACAAAGACCAGCAAAGGAATTCTGCCTCCACCACATGTGAAATTCTATATATAAACACAGACAGTAAGGTAGAAAGTGTTGTTTTACAAAATTCAGATCAGAATTGGATTTAAATCATAGTTTCACTATTTTCTGATGGTGTCATGTGGGGTTCTAGAATTTTATTAGTCTTAAGTTTCCTTATCTGTAAAATGGGATCATGATCCTCCCCTGTAGACTCCTACAGAATTATAAATCCTCTATAATGTTCTAGAGTGCCTGAAATATAGTTTAGCTCAGATTAAATTTCCTGAAAATGAGATTTTATGGGATGGAGCTCAGAATAGCTCTGGGATCTACATATCTCATCTAAACAAAAATACTCAATTCATTATTTTAATAAGGTGTACATGATCATATCATGCATTTTACTAGGATACACTAATTGTACAAAATACCTGGTCTCATTCAATGTAACATAATATAATACAGTGCAACATATAATTATTAAATAGTAAACAGTTTAATATATATTTCAAACAACTAAAGGAAACAATTTTGAATCTCACCAGGACAAGAAACATGATGCATGTTTGATGTGATAGATATGATAATTGTTTTGTTAATCGTTACATGTACACACTGCTTAATCATTAGGCATTATATGTACACAGCACAGTTCTCCAAAATAGGTACAATTATTATGTCAATTAAAATGAAAGTGTAGGATTTTATATCCAAATCTCAGTGGTGCAATGTTCTATAGGACAGAAATAGGGCAAGGACTTGTGCTTATAAACATTCCAAGGAGGGGTACGGAAGCAAAATAAAAACAAAATTGGAAATTGGGGAGCCTCAAGCCTCATAGGAACTTTCCAAGGTAAAAGTATCCCTGTGGGTAGAGTCTCAAGTTGATTTGAGATGCTTGAAAATTGGATTTTCTGCTTGTTTTGACAACTGTTTCCTAAAGAAAGGAGACATTACATCAGAGTCAAAGGAAACAAGTTCCTCTGTAAACAGCCACAATACAAGGCAAAGACAGATGTTGAACAAATTGCTTTTATTTCCTCCTGAAGTCAAAAAAAAAAAAAAAAAAGACTAAAAAGTGACAGAAAACCCCAGAGTCCCTTTCCATGTACTGAAGATCTATGGTCTGCCTCTTTACCCAGTCTTATATAGACTGTCATCTTCCTTGGAGAATGACTTGACTGGCCAAAGGAAAGGATATGAAGGTCACATCCATCCAGTGACCTGCCCTGTGTCCAGTATGAAGGTCTACTAGAAGAAGAAGGAAAATGCCAGCCATCTGGACCTGGGAGAACCCTGTACATATTCCAGCCTCAAGCTACATATATAACCCAATGAGTACTGTAGAAACACATCTACTAGTATGTATAGTACTGATAGGCTAGGGACTACTACTTCGCACCAGTACACTTTTATATGGTTGTAGCTGAAGTGATAGCATTTACAACGTGAAAGTAGCTTATATCCCCAGTTCAGCCCCCACTTATTCCAGGCAGAGCTTGGCATCATAAAAACACTCATTCAGAAAAATCCTAAAGCAACTCAAATCACTTTATTGGCTGAGGAGACTTGGGTGAGTTTGTACTTTCATTTTGCCCTCTTCTATTGATTTTATTCTTTCCTATTTTATTTTTATTTTCACTCTCCCACAGTGTTAATAATAATTGCTTATGTAAATGATCTCTTTCTCACATTCAAGTCCTGGTGTGGAAATAAACCTTGAAAGGAAACATTGTGTAGCCTCTGTCTCTGACTTGAACACACATCCATTCATGGTACACTGTCACTGCCTAATAAATGGACAAACAAGGCCCCTTCCTGAGCAAAGATTGAGAGACCTTTGTGGGTTGTCTCTTAGATACACGCTGCACTTGAAACATGGGCCTTGACTTTTCTGGGTGGGGTATTCATGAGTGGCTTCAAATTATGATCGTCTATTTTCACAACTCTTGAAAATATTCATATATTTCTCAAGAAGAACACTTCTCTCTGGGTGTGATATGTGAGACATTATGTTTAACCTCTACATTAGTTTGATGGTGGTCTCACAGTAGTGAGTACATAAACAAAGCTGTGGTTACATTATTTTAAAAGTGAGAGCCAATAAAATAGAAAACCAACTTTTCTCCCTAACAATTCATTAACCACTCCAAAGATAATAACAAAGTCTGGCTATATTACCTTAAGTAAATAAGATTTTGCTTTTCATACTAAAAAAATTCAGGGTGCAGTAGAAGACTTGTGGCATTGTTTCAACACCTTAAAATCATGGTATATCATCTGTCTTTCTTCTGGTTGAAAAATGGCTACTGAGAGCTGGACATTGGTGGTGATATATGCCTTTAATCCCAGCACCTGGGAAGTAAAGGCAGACAGATCTCTGTGAGTTTCAGGCCATCCTGATCTACAGAGCTAGTTCCAGGACAGGCTCCAAAGCAATACAGAGAAACCATGTCTTGAAAAACAAACAAACAAGGAAGGGAGGAAGGAAGGGAGGGAGCGAGGGAGGGAGGAAGGGAGGCAAGGAAGGAGAGAGGGAGGGAAGCAGGGAGGAAGAAAGGAAGGAAGGAAGAAAAATAAATAAATGGCTACTGGATGTCCATCCACTACTTCATTCAAAGCATAAGGAAAGTAAATCATGGGGAGAAACCACCCAATGTTTAGGCTTACATTTTCACCACCAGGACTGTGTCATAGAACCACTTGCAGCTTTATTTTTATTTTATTTTTTAAATTTCATTTTCTTATTTTATATCGATCCCAGTTCCCTATCCCTCCCTTCCTCCCTCGCTTTGTTCCTCCCTCCCTCCCTCCCTCCCTTCCTCTCTCTTTTTAACAGTCTACAGTCAAACTTTTAGGTTGCTCAACCTCTGTAAAAGAGGAGAACAAGAGTCAGGAGGGTAAAGGTGGGTGAGACAACTGTGAGTGCTACCTTGACATTTTGGTAATAATGCTGCTAAAATCTATACATGCCTACTCATACCAGCATTAAATGCACATCACTGCATCAATGATCAAATGACTTGTATGATAGTCCCTGTCCCCCAATGATATTTGTTAAATAGTAAGACCAAAATGAAGTATAAAAAACATAGGTTTAAATAGCAGAAAGGCTAGAATAAAACAGAGAAAAATTATTACTAAAATAAACAAATGGGAAAATGTTCAGTTTCGTTCTTTTAAATAGAACTGTCATTTACACCCAGCAAATTAGTGCATATATATTTAAGTTTATAATATTTCTGACCTCCTTTTGTGCCAAAGGCTAGTAGATATCAAAATGTCTGTTGGAATGCAAATTGGTTCATACCTGTAGGGAAATTACTCAATAACATTTGACATGATAATGTCACTTCAGGGAACTATTCCTAATGAACTGATTGAAAATAAAAGTGAAGCTATATGCATAAAAATGTAAATTATGACAGTGTTATATGTAATAATCAAAATTCGAGGGAAATAAAACTTAAATGTCTAATAAAGAAGGAATGAATAAGGAAAGTGTAATGGAATAAATCTGATTGGATATAATGGAGCCATTAAAATGATAATTATAACAACCATTAAGTAATATGGAAAATGCTCATGGTTTAATGATAAAGTAAAGCCAAACACAAATTATGCAATTTATAAAGAGTTAACAGAGAAGAGAAGTGGTTACTTGGCTTTCTGGGTTGCAAACACTGTCAGTCTTTATTGTTACCATTTTCCAGCAAAACACAGATATTTAGAACAGAGGTGGGGTTAACAGTTATAACTTGAATATGTTTGCATATAAAGATGTCAAGAGAATTCTGCTTAATAAAAAGATTATAAAAAAATGCTGCCTTTCATCAATAGATGAAAGGTTAAGTTTCTTCAGACTTTTGGAAGATCTGTTAATCCTAGGCATTCTTAAGAAAACTTAGATTTTAATGTCTTTCATTCGGAATTTATTGACACTATTCTTTTAACAATTCTAGAAAAATTATGCCCTAGCCTTTTGAGCATTACCTCTTCATTGTTCTTTGACACATTTTTTTAAGTGACTAGTACATTTGTTTTTTTTTTTTGTTTTGTTTTGTTTTGTTTGCCCTACCCTTTATATGACAAGTTTAATAACAGATTTTCTGTTTTTCCTTTTCTTTATGATGAATTCTGAATGTATTTTGATTAAAAAGTTCTAT